TTTCACTGTGCCAGGGACCTGGGTTTGATTCAAGCCTTGGACAACTGTCTGCATGGCACATGCATGTTCTCCCTGTGTCTGCATGGTTTTCCTCCTATAGTCCAAAGATATGCCATTTAGGTGGATTGGCCATGCTAAAAATTGTCCTTTAGTGTCCAGGGATAAAAGAAATCCTATGCAGGATTATGGGGGTGGATCTGTGTAGGATGCTCTTCGGAGAGTCAGAGCTGATCTGATGGGTCAAATGGCCTCTTTCCGCTTTGTAGGTATTCTATGAACTTACTTTCCCACCTATTTTAGTGTCATCTGCAAACTTGACAAGTGTGCCTTCTGTCCCTAAATCTAAGTCATTAAACTAATTTGTAAATAGTTGTGGCCTGAGGACTGAATCCTATTACACCCCACTAGTTACAGCTTGCCGGCCATTTAAAGATCTATTTATCCCGACTCTCTGTTTTCTATTGATTAGCCAATCCCCTATCTGAGCAAATATATAATCTCTGCATGGTCTTATCTTGTATATTAACCTTTTCTGTGATACCTGATTAAGTACCTTCTGGAAGTTCTGATATACTGTATTTATAGGATCCCATTATCCACTTTAGTCGTTACATCTTCGAAGAACTTAAGCAAATTAATCATAACATGATATCATAACATCATAATAAAATAGCCAATAAGGCTACTTTCTTTTGCTGTAAAATTCATGCACAGTACTGGGCTGTGATTAGTTTATTTTTGTTCCTTTGGACTGCAAATTGTTCTTGGCCTCAAGATTCATTGGTGTTGCACCTGTTTTCCAGATACAAAAGGAGTATTTAGGTATCTAACTTATTGGGTGGTGCAGTACTCATTCTGACTTGCAATTGCACTGCTCCACAGAAGCTTGTATGGATACTAAACTAAAACAAAAACTGCAAATGCTGGAAATCTGAATCAAAAGCAGAAATTGCTGAAGAAACTGACAGCGTCTGTGGACAGAAACATAGTTAATCTTTTGAGTTCTGCGACCTTTCTTCAGAACTAATAGCATCCAGGACAACGTGGAACTTACGCTGATGACAGGAGGTGGGAGGTGGAAGGTTGAGCAGATAGTTGGAGATGGAGTCCAGAGAGAGAGAGGCAGACAAAGGGATTGTTTACTGTGAGCCAGGAAAGAGGAAAAGCTAGATCAGTGATAATGAGGAATATGAGTGGGTGAAAATGTGTTGGCTATGATGATAGCAACCTGTATCTTGACAAGCCTGTACAAATTACATCCCAGGCTACTGTGGGAGGCGAGGCAGAAAATTGCAGAGGTTCTGACATAAATTTTTAATTTCTCTCTGGCCACAGGTGAATTGACAGAGGACTGGACTATGGCTAATGTGGTTCCACTCTTTAAGAGGGGTGGTAGAGATGAATCAGGAAATTGCAAACTGGTGAGTCTCAAGTCAGTGGCAGGGAAACTATTGGAGAAAATTCTGAAGTAGCCACTTAGAAAAGCATGGGTTAATTAGGGATAGCCAGCATGGCTTTGTCAGATAGAGGTCATGCCTAATAGATTTGTTGGAACTTCTTCAAAATGTGACTAAGTGTGTGGTAAGGGAAATTCAGTTGATCTAGTTTATACGGATTTTAGCAAAGTTTTTGACGAGGTCCCACTGAGTGAGAAGGTTAAAGCACATGGAATTGAGGGAAACTTGGCAAGATGGCTCAGAAACTGGCTTAGTAATAGGACACAAAGTGTCCTATTCACAGATTTGTGAAGTCAGCAGAGCACATGAATAGGATAGTTAAGAAGGCATATGGTACGCTTGCTTTCATCAGTTGTGGCAGACAGTATAAGGGTAAGCAGGTAATGTTGGATTTGTACAGTTTTGGTCAGGCCACAACTGGAGTAGTGTGTGCAGTTTTGGTTACCCCACTACGGGAAGGATGTGATAGTACTAAAGGGAGGTACAGAGGAGGTTCACCAGGATGTTGCCTGAGATGGAGAAATTGAGTTATAAAGAGACACCAGATAGGCTTGGATTGTTTTCTTTAGAGCAAATAAGACTGAGGGTGGGAGGACATGATTGAGATTTATAAGATTGAGGGGCATGGGCAGGGTGAATAGAGAGCAGGGACCCGTT